CACAGAAAATCAGGGTGAAAATTTGACATTGTCTCTGCTGATGTGCATTTATAATGCTAAAAACAACCAGATAAAAATTGTGTCCTCCTTCTACCCTCGGCCTGAATTACAGCCTTACCGATTATGGTCAAAAGCAAGATCCTAGCAACGTTTCAGTGGCAAAATCAATGTCAGCACAGGCTAAACTGTGGTTGGCCTTGTGCTCACAACTGTCAGACAACTGCAGAAATGACCAATGGCTGTAACTTCATTGCAAGCAACAATACAAGAAAGTAGTTTGATGTCAACAAGCAGTTACCATTTGAAAATATTTTGGGCAAGAGATTAATGTTTTTTTTTGCTTGGGGGAGAGGGCAGGATCCAGTCTTACAAGACGCTTGAGCCTCAGACCCCCGTGGCTTCTGCCACAGCCCAAATGGGCACACTGCAGGAAGAGCTGGCCAAGCCTTTGAGGAGATCTGACATCGAGTATCACCCCTGTCCTTGGCCCCACGGCTGGTTTGCATGAGCCGCGGCAGTGGCCTGTCCCAGACGGTGCCCAGAGCCGAGACAGCAGCGGCTCCCAGTACCGTCTGTTCTCTGCAGCTCTCGCTGACGGTACGAGCACTGCCCTCAGGATGAGGGAGGCAATCATCCTTGCTTCTGAGTGAGGAATCCAGATCGGCACAAGCCAAATGGGATACAGAATCAGTGTTGTCAGAACTCTTTGAAATGGCTGTTGTGTCACTTAGAGGTGGGGTGCCATTTTTTCACTCCTTTGCATTTAAGGGTTGTTTGGGTAATCCACCTCTTATTTGTCACTTTCAGACAGGCAGACAAGATGAGGATGCTGTTATCCTGGGTTCACCGTACCTTATTTGGTGAAAGAATTTTTGTAACTATAGTAAAAATATATATTTCTGATATTTAGACTTATCCTTGAATGGGAAAGAAAACATTTCAAGACCTGTAAAATATTTCAGCTCCTATTTCAATGGAAATCCAATTAAGAGAATCCAATAGCCAGTGTATTTGGAGTACACAGAGAATGAGAAAAATGACAATACAGCCTGAAGATAATCCAAGAGTCACTGAAATTAATATTATCTACTTTCCTTGTAGTCCCTGAGGTCACTAAACAAATCTTTGTTTCTGTTACTGTTGTATGCTGTCCCCGAATCACAGAAAGAGAGAATAATTGCCTCTTTCTCACCTCAAAAATGTCCTTAAACAAACACTATTGATAACTAGACCAAGATGTTCCTCCATAAACTGAAAAAACTCTGAGATGCTGAACAAAACTTATCTGGTCTTTCCAAGGCACCTTTTTTGAATGCAGAAGGCTCTGTCCTCAAAGTCGCTTGGGTTTCTGGAGAACCAAGAAGCCATTGCCCTCAAGCTACTGAAAAATTAATTTCATTTAGATTTGGTCCTCAGAGTTAAGAAAACCCTTTCATTTGTATTTAAACATGCCTGGCATCTATTTTTCTTCCCTCCACTGTGAATATAATGAAAAGAAGGGCTTTGAGGAATAGTGGAAGGGTTGGCATATACTTCTGGACTTAAACCCCTGAGTCTTTCCTGCTCTAATTGAGCATGTGGCTCAGCCGCATTGGCCATATTAATGTGTGAAGTGGTGCTGTAATGTACGCATGTTGCTAACATGATGCACAGGGAAGAAGGGGAGCTACAGTAGATTGGAAAGCATGTCTTGATACTAAACCAGGAGGAAGAAAATTACTTGGGGTGCATGTTGGAATGGTATAGATAAATGTGGAGAAAAGGAAGAGAACAACTAGTTCTTCATTCAAGGAAGAGCCCGATTGCATGTTTGAATGGTATAGATAAATGTGGAGAAAAGAAACTAGTTCTTCATTCAAGGAAGAGCCCGATCCATGGAGAATGTTGTACGTGTAAACAATGAAACTGAAATTTGTGAGGAAATAAAATATGGGCAGTTAAACATTCCTTTTTTTATCCTTGGCTTCACTTCTAGATGGAGATATTTTCCAGTAACTGATTTAATCAAGAGAAACTCTTCCTCCCACTTGTCTTTCCCACTACCTTCGGACTCCCTGTACCTTTCCGTACTTCAGAACTCCAATGTCTTTTTCTGTTCTGAGAATAATTTCTTTGTTTTCCTACACATATTGGATCCCTGCTGTCTTCTCCCCTCCCGCATCTGAATTCTGATATTCCACAGGTGGCTGCATTAATCTTTCTTCTTTTCTATAAGCAACATTCCTGCCATCAAAAATTTTATATAGTGAAGTTTGTGGCACAAAACTGATGCTGGTCATTGAGCATAAGAAAGATGGAGCAATGTTTTGTTGTGTGAGCCAAGAAAGGATTCCAAAAATGTTTTTATCCAAGTTCAGATCTCTGGAAAACAGTGAGCTGCAGCTCCACATTGAAAGCCTTCTCAGGTGTGTGGCTGATATATTTACAGGACTCTCATCTGAAGGTGATCATGCAAGGAAGACTTATTCCAATGAGCTTTTTATGTGTGTAGCCTTGTGGAGCTGACATTACCTAAGACACGCTTTTATCAAGCAGCAAAGAGACATAGATTGCTGCAGTATCAGGTGTAGGGACATTTCAAGGAGACTGGTGTATGCTTTATAAAACTGAAGGGAAATTTCCTTCCAGAATACAAAATACATCTCCCCCTCCTTACTTTTAATTCACATTTATTACTAAATCTTGTATTGTAAAGAAGACTGAGACGCAGCGTTTTACAAGCTGCAAAATTTGGGACTATAAATAGAATCATTAAATATACAGCTCAATATATTGTATGGATAAATTGGGAATAGAGTTTTTAAAATCTGTTTTTGATACAAACTTAAGTAAGACAAGACCCAGCTATCATGTTAATAGTAAGTTAGGGGGAAACTACACAGACATGAAGCTATGGTGATGGGTGTCCTGTTACCAATAGTGCATATTGTATCAGCTGAGATCATGGAGGCCAAGACAGGGTTCAGTTTCCAAATAGTGCCTGCTGAATTTGTGCATGGCTGAGGAACAAGTATTGGACCTCCTGAGGAACATTGCTTGGCACTGATGTTGAGGGGCTGTTTGATGTGCATATTGACTTTGGTCGTTATAAAGGCATAAAATGCATGTCTAGAGCCAGATGATTGGTTTGCAAAATGCAGCAGCTCATGTAATACACAAAACAGCTGGCTTGACTAAAAAGACAGCTACTTTCTTTTAAAACGATCATCGCTGGGTGGCAAATCATTGACTCATCTTACAAGAGTTTTAAAGGTGCCGCCCCGTCCTGCTCTTCCATCCTGAGGGCAAAGAAAGATCTTCAGAGGGCAAATCCTCCTACAAGCCCAGAATGATGCCTTGCCTGAGGCATGGAGATCTGCATGCCCTGGGGAGCCAGCTCAAAGCACAGAGCCTGAAGGCCAGCCTGGTGGCCACTCCACTTGGCCTTACATATGGTGCTTAGAGTCTAATTACCCAAAGTTCCAGGTCAATGGGCAGTTCCCATCAGTGGTGTTTCAGAAGTGGGTCCTCTGCTGGTCCGATGAGGCACATGGAGCAAGTTCCCTCCTAACTGACTTGTAGCAGCTCCTTTTCCAACTGATCTATGTTGGGTAAAACCTCAGGTGCTCACTGACACAGAGAAGAGCTGACCATTTGCACTAGTTGACCTTCATAAACTGACCAGCCTGGTGTGGTGGCCTGGTCCCTGCAACTGGTCCCTGGAGGCTTCTGGATGGCCCAGCTGGGATGTGAACCTGAGCTTATACCACACCCTCAGTACTCTGCTCTGCGGGACACGTAGGGCCAGGTCGCTTTTTCTCCCCTTCTACATTCTGCTGGCACAAGAAAGCTTTCCCTGAGATGAGAAGGCTTTGCTGGCTGATTGCTCACTGCCTGGGGAGGCAGGGCTGGGGGAGCAGGGCTGCACGAGCACCTGCAAATGCATTTTATTGCTGTTTCAGTTTTCTCAGTTAAAAGTTTTTTTCTCCAGGCAAGTTTCATGTCTGATATTTTCTGAAAAAAACCCAATCAGTTTCATGGCTAAATGATATTTTTGCAGTAAGTAGGTAACCTAGCTCATATATTACAGCACTGCAACATTTCTTACCAGAAAAGGATTAACTTTATATATAAAAATCTGCCTATAGGCCAAGCCTTGCCTGACACTCTTCCACTTATATAAATTCATCCAGCAAACTGATTTTCCCTTTGTCTTCCCTCTCTTTCACCTCAAAAATTTCTCCCCTCATCCATAAAAATTTCATGCAAACCAAGTCTGTGAGCTCCTCTCCCCTTGTCTATACAGAGCCTGGCACAATGCAGCATTTTGAAGTGGTGTGTGCTCTGAGCATCTGAATACTTGAATTCTGTTTATTAGTCATAAAAAAGTGAGGCTGTGGGACACAAGTGTTGGAGTAATTTATCTCGGAAGTAACCAAATCGGTATTCTGCAAGAGCATAGAGATCTACAGCATGGCAAGGAGAACATGAACCCTGCATTCTAGCAGACACTCTGGTGAACAAAGGGCTAATGCAAACCTAAGCCTGTTTGGAGCACTCATGCCTCTGCCAGCAGTAAATACAGCAACTAGTTCATAACTTTTTCAGATTAAAAAAGACAGTATTGCACAACTCTTCTGTACCTGCTTGGGAGGAGAATAAAACTGAAATTTGACCTCCCTTTGAAATTTGACCTTAATAATTTCTCTGACAAGGATTTAGTTTTCTATCTGGGGAAGGACAAGATCTTCACTACCAGCTAGATATTAGGACAGGGTTGAATGCAGAACCAGGACTATTAATTTTTTTATTTCTAGGTCTAACTCACATTTTTAGAAAGTAGCTGATTCCTGGATCAGGTTGAGAAGACAAATACCAGCCTCAGTTCAAATTTCAGCATTGTCCCTGAGTTTGATCTGACTGAAACAGTCCTCATACTCACTTATATCTGGCACTTGTTTCTTCAGCTCAGCAGATGAATATTTTCACTGACAACCTAAGCACAGTCACAACTCATTTACCTGTGAGGTCCTCATTGGGCCAGGAGCCGAGCTGGCAGGCTTTGCATGTGTATTCATCAGATACATATTCATTCTCTTTACATGGAGTGCAGGTCCAGCAGCAGCTCACTTCTCCTTTACGGATCACCTGAGACAAAAATTGGCATTTGGTTTAGCAGCATATCTATACATTCATGCTGCCCCAGTTGTTAATTTATATATTTTTTTTTTTTTTTTTGATAGGGGAGTTTTTTAATTTTATGTTAAAGTGAGTTCCTTTTCATGGTGTGTTTGCTTACACAAAATATGACACAATTCTCAGTTCTCCCATTATGTATGTACCAGAAGAAAGAAACTATCAACCCGACAGAAGTGTAATAGTAAGCTACAAAATAAAAGTATAGAATGACAATAAGATTTCTTTCCCCTTTTAGAAGTAGCAAAACTCAAAATTTCATAGATGATAATGTGCCTACAGAAGCCAGTGCATGATACTCAAGGCATATAATTCACTCCATTGTGGTCCATACACAGAAACATGTCAACAGTATTATTTCCCTAAGGGCTCATTACCCAGAGATTTCTGGGTGCTTATTTTTCATCCACTTGTGAGTGTTTTGTTAAAAGTGATATTTTCCAGATACCAAACTGAACATGCCTTTTCCAGAATTATTTAATTACTGCATTTCTAATTAACATTTAAGAGTGAAAATGTTATCTTTATCAATTTTAACGTCTGACCTGATTTCTCATTTTATAATTTACTGCCAAATGTTATTGCACACTCATGATACTGAGATGCAGAGTTTTCAAGATCCTTATTTATCATCTCTGGGCATGGAAAACATCTGTGCTTCTTGTCAATATGTCTTCCCTTTGAAGTAAAGTATTCCCAGTCTCTCTGCTCCTCCCAAACAATTTATAAATGAATTGCTCCTAATTATAACATAAAAAGTACATTGACTTGTGTATCTTTTGCAATGATGAATTTAGAAGGTGGCTTCAAAACCAAATATCTTTATTGCCATTTTAATAAATTAGATGTAAAGGAGTGTAATCTGTAAGAACTGGATTGCTCTTTGCAATGCTGCAGTGAAAAAAAGTGTAAATTATATTATTTTCATCAGCAATATGGGGACTTGAAAACTTCAGGTTTTGATTTTACTTTTAAAATTGTGGAGTATGAAAAGAAAAAAGCCACATCTGAATAGCTAAACTGGCAGAAAGGCTATGGGAGCATAAGTGATTTGCTCTGCATGTGTTGAGACTAAAGCTACTTGCAAAACAGAGTATCTGTCCTCCAGAATAATTCACATCTTGGGATTTCTTTCATTTTGAACAAGAATAAAAAGTTTAACAAATGACAAAATTTCCTATGTCTGAGAAAATGAATTCTTGGAAAGCTTGTACTAATTTTTAGACACATATTTTGGTAAACTTATGCATTAAAAAATCTATAATTTTACAATGTATAAAATACTCAACAAAATGAAATGGCAAAATAGAAACCATGTTATTATCAAAACACCTAAAGTTTTTGTCAAAACAATGCATTTACACTTTTCTCTTAAACTCTTCACCAAATCAACATCTTCTATAAAATACTTAGAATTCCTTCTCTAGGAATCAGAACAACTGTTCTTCACTGCTGAGAATTAGGTTTGACTTTTTTTGTATTAAATTGCTTAGTCAGCTATTTTTTTTGTTTCCATCACTTGAACAATTGTTTGTTGTAGCATTTAACTGTAAACCAATCTTTTTTGTCACTTCTAACAAAAATAATGCTCTTTAAAGCAAAAATTTTCCTTTCCCCTTGTCATCTGGATAATGTTTTGAACCTGTATTTATTTAAATAATCATATGTCTGCACTATTTCAAATGTATAGAGTTGGATTGTGTTTAGATTTTATCAGGTCCTTCAGATGGATGTGCCAAATGATGCTGAGTTTTGGATGTCGTTACACTGAACATTTCGAATTCCTGCATAACTCAGTCCCACAGAATTCTGCCGGAAAACCACTGCGCAGCTTATCAGGCTCAAGTTCTCACCATCATCTGTGAAGACCATGAAGATAAAGGACTGTGAAATAAACTGATATTTATAATCAATTTATAATCAATAACATAACAAGGAGCATGAAGAACATTTCAGACACTGGATTTCAAGCATGTGTCTAAGTGTGTGATGAACTGGCTTTGTAGTGAAGAATCCTCTTGGGAGAATCCTTGACAGCATGGGCAGAAAGTGGAAGAAAACTGTGTTAACATAGATCACAAGATACCTCCCATCACCTGTGTTATGGCAACAACTCATAAAGCAACTCAGACCCACCCAGTTCTTAAGTTATTTGTTCGTCCATCTCCATCGTCTCAGATATGTGACTTTCTGGCAGGAGCAGGCTAACATCAAAGCCATGTTTAGCTACTGTAGGAGTAATTCATCCCACCTTCCCTTTGTGTCTGCAAAAGGTATGCTCTCAACTGAACCAACTGTCCTGGCTGGGCATTTGTCGTGGTTTGAGCCCACCCAGCCGGCAG